GCACAAAATAAAGCTTAGAGATACTTATTAACAGAAGAAAAAACGATTTTTTGAAATTTCCTTTTTGAAGGAACAGTACCATCTAGTGGCTAAAACCTGTTGCAGAGCCCAACAAAATCCATAAAACTGTACTAGTTCGGTGTGACTCCATGATACTGAATCCTGTATCTTAGTTTAGCATTGAATAAGCTTTAGTCTACAGGTTTGTCCTCCTAGGACAAAACAAGACAAGGCATGCTTGGATCTACCTACAACACACAATATAAACATTCCCCACCCCATGCTTGCTCTCTAAAAACACCAAAAAAAAAGGTCCCTCAGCAATATAGCAACAGTTTTACCAGTTCAGGAACTTAAAGAATTAGAACCACCACAAGATTAAATAGGCCTATTACAACAACAACCATCTTTAAAAAATTCTCAAGAAAAACCACTAAATAAAATAGTATTATCACAGAAAGTTTCATTCGTTGCTGGGAGAGCGCTGTTTATTTGTTTAAAGTTTATCCATAGCTTTTGCATCCTCCTCCTTCCCTGCCTTTCAGGTATAATCTAAATTACAATATACTTCATATAAAACTTAATAGCCATTCTAAGCTGCTCCAAATCACAGCTCATTAAAAGTCAAAGAGAATGATAATTGTTATCAATAGAGCATTAGTCTCCAGAATTTACAGATTTATTTTTTTTTCCAGCAGCGTGAATTGTCGCAATTTTAGTGAAGTCCACTGGTGTGAGCAGTTACTGTTTCAAACTCTCTCACCTGTGCATTGCCCTACCATCTGGTTACGGAAAAATCCTACAGGCTACGTTTACCACAAACTAGCAGATACTGCTGGACACACACAGTTATGCGTAGACTTACAAAATACAATTAATTTTCATAATACTTAATAAATTCAGTGGTAACACTTAAGATTCATTAATTAAGACCTTTAATTCATTAGGGAATCCCTTGAACAGCATAATTTTTTTTGGTAAGTGATTAAACAAATAGGACTGAGCCAGAATCACTAACAGTACACAGAGAGCCTGAATGCACTTATACATATAAAGAGTCAATTTCAAATTGATAAGCTTACCTTCAAATCATGTGAACAAGTAAATTTGTTAAGTAAGGCAGTTTGGATTAGCTCCCATCGACTTCCAGCAGTTCTATCTCCATTCTTTAAAACAAAAGCCCAAAACAAAGTCAGGTTAAGTTACTCAAAATAGACATATTTACTAATAACTGTCTTCCTTGTTGCATTTTTTTTTAAAAAAGTTTGCTTTATTTGTGAAATTCTTTAAAAATAAACCACATATTTTGTGTAACTGTAAAGTACTTCTGCAACTTCTAGACTATTGCATTTTACTTGAGAGTTTGTTTTTAATTGAAACATTCACAAAGAGCGCTTTTCACATATGCAGCACTCTTCCTGCCATCTCAAGAAGGACAAATAATGTTCAGTATGTTCCTTGTGAAGAAAGTGGATTTTACAGATAAAACATGACCACAGTTCATAAAATCTGCAACCTAAAAATAAAAACTGAACTAACCTTACAAAAATACAGTATTAAGAACGTTTAGGGTACAGATTATAAAAGCATATTGCTATGGCTGACTATTGCATCAACCCACACTTAGGACATCCTGTAACATTTTTCCTCAACAGAAACTCTTATTGCCCATTGCAAGCAATAATGGTATTTCTTATGGGACTACCACAAGGGCAGAGACAACTCATCTTGCTCAGAAGGCAACAAAGATCTTATCAACATTTTATCTTTGAAACATCAGTTAAATTCATTTTATACCGTATCTGTAAAATTGACAAATGAAAAGACACAATGCTTCCTGGAGGCTATAAAAATTGTCTGTTCCAGATTCAAGTCTCAATAACTGTTACACAGTCTTCACTACAGGACACACTTGCTCATTTTATTTACCACAGTCCAAGTATTTCAGTGGGTATGTATAAGTAGGTCTTGAGCAGTGACAAGAAACACCAGATCAACAAACCGTGCAGGGTCAACTCTAATGTCTCCACCATTGTTTTAGCAGAGCAGCAGCCAGATGCCTTGCAATCTACCAGAAATATCTGACAGAATATTATAATCAGAACGTGGTTACAAATTCATTCACAGCGGTTGGCACCCCAAATGGCTTCACACAAAAAATAAAGATATATCATCTAAACACACGAGTATATAAATATATAACTTATATGGAATAAAAGCTTATGTTCCATGTAAGTATAGAAATATATAGACCATCAAAACAACGGCTAGGTAAAATAATTACTGGGGGGGGGGAGAAGTCGTCTGCTCTGCCTGAAGCATCATGACCCAGAAACTAGCTTTTCAGTCCAGGTATGTCTGTCTTCTTGATTTTTCAATTCCATACACACAGTTTGCCAACTGAGCAAATAAAAACTCATCTATATGTAAACTAACATAAATTATTTACAGTTGTGTAATAAAATATCCTACCTCATCCTCTACAGGGTATAAATTTTGTTCTGAACAGGGCATTTTAACATGTTTGTTGTCCCACAAATCTTTGTAGTGAGTTGGAAAAGGTTTAGGCACCTCTCCCTCCCTCAGGAGATCTACCTGCAATGCAGAAGAAGAATGAAAAAAGTGCAGGCTCTACTTTGAAGTTTTTAAATGGAAGAAATTAAAAGTAAGCAAAAACATAGTTAAAAAAAGCTCTCATCTACAGTCACCGGTTTTGGAAAGGGGAAGCTACCAATCAAGCACATGCAGCAGAAAAAATTCCAGCTGTTATTCTTATGTTATACCTGGTGAAAAGAACACCACCTTATCATCTGACCTCTTAAACACACTGAAGTAAAGGTAATATGTGCAATTATTTTATGTTCAATTATCAACTAAAGACTTCCTCATTTACGAATTTAGGTATCTACATAGCTTCATCCAAATATTTCCAAAACATAGTTTCAAACGTAACCATAGTCATAGAATCATAGAATGTTTCAAATGTAACTATAGTCATGTGCAGAAATAACATTTTTTAACCTAACACTGAAGAGAAATCATTAAGATATAGCAATATTTCGAGTTTACTCCACAGAATATCAGAAATGTAAAAATAAATAGCACTATGTTCTTAAAGACTTAACCTGCCACACTGCCTTCTGGCAGCACTGATTCTCTCAGAAATTGCATTTAAACTTAATGCGTTCTTCTTTTGTTTGGGATTTATCCATGACCCTACAGGTTTCTGGCCACATGTTTTATTTCAACAATAATTTGACTGCATACTACTCCAAAGGATTAAAGGCAAATATATCAGTTTTGATCTTAGGTGCAGTAGTAAAATTGCTAGAAACTCCTCTTCATTCTTTGTAATTTTTTATATCTTGAGCCTTTTGTATATCTTGAACCCGAAATAAAATCATATTACAATGAAAATATAACATGAAAATGTTGAAGTACAAATTTTACTTGCAGATGTATTTAAAATCCCACTTTACAACTCAGACAAGGAAGTACACATACACCTATGCAAAACACTTGTCCCTAACAAGCCAGGGGCAGTAAAACCACGATTACATCTTTTCTGAATCTTAATATCATAATTATGTGCATCAGAAAACACAATTTTCAGGACAGCTGCCCCAGTCTGCTCACAAGGAATGGCAAAGAAAGATTTCCACAACCTGCTAATACTATAAGACTAACATTTGGCATTTCATATTATTGAACAATTCAGAAAGAAATTTGATTTCAGGTAATACAATGAATTATCATACTCTGACGGTGACTGTATGATTGGCTGAGGGTCGCAGATGAGGAAGACGGGCCCCACACATCGGCATTCTTCTCATCTCTTCAATTGGTGTCCCAAACCATTTCTTATTTGTTGGAAGAGGAGGCGGCATATATTTAGGAATCTTCCTTCCTGGCCTTTGGGGCTTGAGCTCACACTTTTCTTTCCTGCTGTTAAAATAAAAAACGTTGAGACACTTTATTTCCACTGAAAAACCTAGTAGGCAAACACATGAACTCCAACTCCAGGGTTACATCAATAACAAAGTCAGTTTATTTGCTAGCCTTTTCTGTGGTCCCAGGCCAAAGCTTTATTTGGGGAAAACCCCCATCACCAACCACCTCCTCCTCCTCAACACATGCAAGTACATGATATCAACCAAAACACTCTTCTACAGGCTTACAAACTCCTTCACAGAACTGCAGTGGGTTAGCAAGGCAGGGCTTTTTCCTCTGCAGTGTCATGCTCTTTCACAACAGGATCCATTTCCCATGGGACAAGAGACAGACTCATTAGTCTGCATTTGTCAGGATACCCTCTACAGCCCCTTCTCAACTGTTAGGAAACAAATGTGTGCATGCACGTATTCCTTTTTCAAACTAAAAAAAAAAGAAAACAACCAACCAACACTTCTTAATCACCCTTTCTCGCTAGAGTTGTATTTTTCATGTCAGGCATACAAAACTTGCAATGGAAGTAGAAATTTAAAAGAAATCCAAAAAACACCTGCAAAATTAAAATATATGGAAGAGCAGATGAATTAATCCTTTTTAACGATCAAAGGTATTTGCATGGATCTGAGATATTTTGGAAAGGAAAACCTGAACCTGCTGTATGTTTGATGCAACATACCAGATATTTCTCATGCAAGAGAACATTCTCAGAGTACAATGCAAAACAAGTTAAAAGCCTACACTTTGAGGTACTGCTTAGACCTCTAAATTTCCCCTGGCAAGTTTATTCCACCCTTGGATAAAGATGTTGTCCAACCTGTTTGCTGCGCCTGTGCATACGCCGGCCTGGTCAGGTGCAGACAGTGCCTCCGACCTGGCAGACTGCATCCCAACGGTGCAGACGCGTTGGCGTGACACCGGGTTCAGGCCCTCTGCGCGCATCCAAGAGCCAAAGGATAATTCTGGCACAGTATTACCGATGACTGAAACCTGTTTGATACTCTACTGCTTCTTTCTCTGCAAATTAAGATCTGAGACACTCTATTATCTGCTTTAGACCTGGTCTAACAAGAACCAGGAGGAAAGCTTTAAGATGTTCTGATTGCCTTCTAAGCACTATAGACAATATCACTATTTTGCCTAGCACTGTAGTTTATAACCTTCACATCATCTTGTTTAGGCTCCAAAAAGAAAGGGGGAGAAGGAGGAAATAAAAATCTCTCTACAGCCTCATACTCTACCTTACTAATTGTTCTGTAAAGTGTTGCTAGGATTCCCACCTACCCACATAGCAAAACTTTTGCAGGAGTTCCTTTCTCAAACATGGATTTATTGTAACACATGATGCCCTAGCACTGACAAACACAAGCCTTAAGCTCTGCTGCTTTGTTGCAACAGCAATTCATTTAAATTAGTGAAAAGAGTACTCCCTAAACTCATCATTTTAAACTTTATAACCTCCTTCTCCATACTTTTTTTTAGCAAATTCTTCATCCAACCATTTTTCCTAAGAACCACCTTTTTTTGTTGTTTTCCAAATCCACTCTCAGCCTACTCATCTGTTAAGATTTCTCAAATGCAAGCTCCTGCTGCTCATTAGCACCCTCTGTCACCCGCTTGGTCATTTCCTTGAGAGGTACAGTTTGTACTGCTCTTCACATGCAGAATGGTCCTCCCAGCAGAGATGTGCAAAACTATTTTTTTACACTACTTTAAAAAGGCATTGTCTACCGAGACAATGGCTTATTACACCGACACACACAGTCCTCTTGTTTCTGCTTACTCTTTTGCTGTTTATTCACTTTCTCAGCTCTCACCGAAACCTAAGCTCTTCCAAGCAGAGATTATCGTTACACAACATCTAGCATAAGAAGTCCTGGGTCACACTCAGGACTTCTGCTTCCATTGCTGTAGTGTATAATCACCAGTCCTTCCTTCTCCTAAATTATGAATAAAGCCAAAAGAAACCCTTTTAACACTCTCATAGACTTCTAAAATTGCTTTCAAAAGTGAAATTTTTTGTGTCTATTTCAATCAAAGCATCAGTAGCACTGATGCTTCAACAAAATAGATTCAGTACTTTTTGACAGATGAAACTAAAAAAAAAAATCCCAAGAAAACATCAGTTTCCTAGAGTATTCTGAATGAAATAATGAATGCTAGAGCTACACTCTATAAAGCACTCCTGTACCATGATTCGTTTTCAAGCATTAAAAATCCCACGGTCTTAAATCACTTCTTTGATAAATAAAATCAACTTCTTATACTGTCTTTAATTCCCAATTTTAACAGACCTCCAATGACTTAAAAAATTGCACCGGACAAACATACCATTTAAAAAAACACAAGTAGTCCCATTAAAAATAAGTTACTTCAAGCTTACGTCAAATTTGTCTTTGTGTCTTAACATACATTTTGCAAAACATTTTATACAATCCAGCACCAAAAAGGAAATTTTTGAGCATGAAAAAATAAAGAAAGGTGCAGACAGAATATTACCTTTTTTCTTCAACTTTAGGTATCCTCATGAAGTGAGAGGTGATTTTGGAGTCTCTCTTCACACCTTGTTTTGCACCTTTGCATTCTGATGCTGGAGCAGGAGAGATCCCAGGTGACTTTGTATGCAGACTGTCCTCCCTAACAGAATTGTCTATTTCCTCAAAGCTTTCACAGCCCTTGGCAGAAAAACGTGACTTTCTTGACTCCAGTTCAGCATCCCCATATTGAATTCTAAAAGATTTGTTTATGGATTTTGACATATCTCGCTCATCAAGAAAGGGACTTGTTTCTTCATCAGGCTCTGACCCATGACAGCTATTTTTGGAATTATCTACATCCATCGGTGACTCTGGTTCACTTTCTTTCTCAAAAGCAGGTGAATCTCCTGAACTGCTCTGACATTTGCTCAGTTTCCCACGACCTCCAAGATCAGATACACAAGCATCACAACCAGCATCTGAAAGGGGACTTTCTGGAACTACATCCCCGTCATCTTGGTCACCCATTAAACAGACAGAATTGCAACTCTTCAGCTTCTGTGAATTGCAAGAAGCCACTTGTTCATCTGTCTCAGTGTCTTTTGAAGAAAGTTTTGTATTTCCTGTTTTCAAAGACTGGCTTGATGATAATTTCCTCTGAGTCCAATTGTCACCGCTTCCTTCACAGCCTCTCTGAGCCTGCTTGCCAGTTTTGTGCATCTGATCGATGTTGGCGTTTTTAAAGAGGTCTCCAGACTGTGTCCCCTTCACAGGCTCTGTGTCTAAGACCGGATCTTTGTCCTCATCCTCCCAGTTACACATGCCGCCAGTCTGATGCAAATTTACATGCTTTGCACTTTCTAAAGATATTTTTGAATAATTCTGCTGACAAATGTTCTCCAGCTTTTTCACATCATGCTCGCAAAAGTTCTCTTTTTTAATGGAAGTCATCTTGGGATTTGCTTCAGTATTGTTATTAATTTTGCTGTGTAAGCTGTGGAAAAGAAGTAAGGGAATGTAATGTCTTATCTCCAAATGAAATTTCTGTGTATATTTAAATTATTGTTTAAAAAGGAATTATTATAAACATACAATAGAAACTACAGAATTTTACTCATTATACTGTGTAAGTGAGCATTACCAGGACCAACAAGTTTTACTGCACTGGGGAATGTAGCTCAGTAACAGCCTATTTCCACTTAAAAGATTCGGCATCCTTTGCACTTACCTTAGAAATCTATTCCAGAGATTCATTAGAGTGATTTTCAAATCTAAACAGTATTAAGCTATTATTTAGTTATTTTGTCCAGATGAAAAAAGTTAGAAGTCATGATAAAGTCCTCCTTAACTTTCACTTTAATCAGTTAAATACAGTGAGCAAGGAAAGAAATGGTTTTGTAGTCATTCCCTCAGAGCTACAAATTCAGCTTTTAGAAAAGCAGGACACAGTAGTCCATAATCTCAAAAACATCCTATTACTTCCTTATTTCTATAGGCAGCTCGTGACTCAAAAAAAAAAAAAAAAAATCACAATACAAAAGTCTAAGAGTAAAATGTATTTAGAACAGATAATAAAAATTAAAAGACACATTAAATCAAATATTAAAGAGAAAAATAACCTAATTTGTCCTGCTCTGTCACACACAAAGAACAGACAGAAGTGTGTCCTAACAATTATCCCAGGAAACAAAACAAGTTTTGTAAGATCAGCTGAAACTCCTGAAGATGACACTGGAAAGTACTTTCCCACTTACATACTAATTTTTGTGTCAGTGTATTGATAAAGCAAAATACTTACACATCATATGAATATTTAAAAAAATCTGACTAGTGTTGGTGAATATATCACTCTGAACAGTACCTTCTCCTGAATGTATTGTTACAACTCTGTATATGACCAGTGCAAACCAAGCATGCTAAACTCTGTGTCTGGTCATTGCCCAGTTTCCCATCTACATTGAACAGGAAAACACGTAATTATCACACAATCCTAAGTTCAGCAATCGAACATCTTAATAGATTCCTATAGATTCCTTCCCATTAATAGAAGGCATTAATCATCAAAGAAAAATAAGCCACCACATTTACAATTGTCATTATAGAAGAGTAATATTGCATTTAATTGTAATGCTGCCTTGCAAACACTGCTCCTGACAGACTACGTTAACAGAAAATATCAAACTTCACCTGGGGCTATTCAGCAGCAAAATTTTCATAACATCTTTCACAGAATAACTTGAATGCACATTTGAGCACCTCTAAATTCTGGTCCAAATTAAATCAAGTTACGCATGCTTATACTACAATCACAGTCCAATGAGACGAACTGAAACAGACATTTGTCTGTGAATTAACAACAGAACTGTGAGTTGAATGCAGGACCATCAGCCAAAATCTGTAACTCTTATTGCCATATGTTAAACAAAAATAAAAGCAGAGCTGTTGACTACGGACATACTCTGATATTACAGCTAACTTGATCTAGCATTTGGCTGCCACTGGAAGCAGCAGTTCCACTCTGCCTTCCCTTGCTGCAGGTTCCTATCTTTTTCTTTGCAGAAACAACAGTATTTATTCACTTAAACAGTGAGGTGCTTCAGGAAGCCAAGTCAGCAAAAAGTATGGTTTTGGGGGGTTAGAGAGGAAGAGTCGGGGACTGGTTACCTTTTTGTAGTGAAAGTCTGCCAGTTAGTTACACTCCAGTGGTGAGGAAAGCAGCAGAAATGGGGTTGCTTTTTGTTCAGTAGCTAGCTGTACTGGCAACCTGCACTTTCGGTTCCCCATAGGCCCACTTGAAGAACACAACTTTTGAATAGGTATGCTGTGCATTTTACCTTTTGGACTCGGTTGTCTTGGGTCCTTTATTCTCCAACCAAGTGGTAATCGTCCGTTGTTTACAAACTGAAAAACACAGTTCACTACATTATTACACGAAACATGATAAAACTGCAACATATATGTGAAATAACATAAAACCGAAACATGATAAAACTGCATTTTTTCATAGAACTGAAACATGATAAAACTGCATATGAATAAGATAACTTGTACTGGATGCAGATAAAAACACCTCAATAAGTCCTCATTATCATCTCTGCTATAGGGAGCATCCACACGCTAACACTATTAAAATTACATGTGATGCAACATTTAATTCATATCAGTTAGCAGCTGTAGCTTTCATAATAATCTTTATTAATACCATTTGGCTTGGTGTGTGGTGGTTTTCTTTTTTCATCCAACATATTTTTTCTATACAGTTAAAAACACATAGTAAATATCTAGATTTAAAAAATAAACAAAAAACCGCAACTTGAACTTTCCAGCTCTTGTTCTCACCTTTAGTTACCACTGCAGTGAACCCTGAAAGGCTGAATTTTGGAACGAAGAGGCAACATGACATAAATTTAAACAAACAAACAAAACTAACAACTAGCATCTTAGCAGATCCAGCTGAGAACCTTATTTGTATATAGCATACCGTGAAAGATGAGACTTAATATAAAGATTGTACACATTGGAAGTGACAAACGCTGAGAAAAGGAATGTTTTTCCCCCCATTCCTAAACAATCTGTAAAGCCTATCAATGTTCGCTCCCCTAAACAACAAAATGTGAAGGACATTTCTTTCAGATCAACAACATAGCTCCACTGAATGTGATCAGTCTTATCTCTGTGATGTTGCAGTTCAGACAAGCTTTCAACAAAACAGAAACTAATTATATAGTGACTTGAGGTAGGAGAACACGGAAAAAACCTCAAAAAGTTATTTCACAACTGGAAAGTAATTGTCATTAGTATAAGAAGGGTTTCTTCGTTTTGTTTTGATGTTGTTTAAAAGCAATTCTGAAAATCTGACAACTGGCTTCAGTTCCCTTTCTTTCCATTTGCTGAGACAAGTTATCTACCTGCGGCTGCTGACTGTGCAAGACGTCTGCTCACTGCTTTCAACGGAGTAGGTAAAATCTATAGTTCCCCTATTGAAACAATAGTTTTGCAGAACTTAAAAGCAAGTACAGCAGATCTGGCTATTCTGACTAACAGTCATTACTGAAAGACTCAGCGTTTTGCTGCAAACGGAGGTTGTGTAACTTGTAGCACAGGTAGCTTAGGCCATAGGTAACTTAAGAGACTTTGTCTGATAAACGCTTTCCCTAACATTCAAGGCCTTGAACGCTTTTCCACAATTGGTTATCAAATATCCTCATCAAAAGTACAGAATTTCTAGAATGCAAAAGTAATCTCCAGAAAGTATTCAAATCCTTTTCAGTTCTTCTGAAACAGCACAAACAATACTGCAAAATTGCCACCATGTGACCAGGTCACTACGCAGTAACGCCAAGCCGTACATAGATTAAAAGCACAAGGATACCTGTGCCATGCTCAGCCATTTAATTTTGCAACAAATGCTCACCTTCACCCCACTCAGACAAAAATAATAACTTGATGGATTTTATGAACTAGAAGATTCACTCAAACTGAAGTATATTAGTCATTCTGTTTACCAAATTTCACCTTCTTATATTCAAAGTGTTAACCCAAATTGCCTACAGGAAAGGGGAAAGAAGCAGCCAAAAAAAAAAACCTGAAGAGACATGTTAACACGTGTGATGAAAAATCCTCTCCAAAGGCAGCTGACTACCTCTTGAGGTACAAACTTGCATTGATGAAGAAATACTTATTCATTAGTACAACAAATAGACATCATAACAGCAACATCAGAACAGAACAAAATGGTTTTGGTCTGAACTTTCACATCTGATAGCCACTTTTCCAACATGAAAACTTTTCCATTTCTGATAGCACTATAACCAACATGACACACATCATTTTCCTTTAATACTACTAACATCTCTTTTTTGCTAGGGATAAGGTGATAAAAACACGAGGCAATAAAAAGACAACATATGCTTATGTTCAGTGTAAACAATAAAAGCAGACTTCAGTGAAATTCTTTTTAAAGTAGCCTCTAAACTTCTATTCAAGATTCCCCAAATCATTCCCATAAAACAAACCATTCCTCAGAATCTATCACTGAGGAAAACAAATGAATTTTAAAAAGATTCTTATTTATCACTCTGTAGGAGTGCACACATACAAGGTCAAACTATTATCTACTCAAAGTTGCCTCTCAGTTACTTGTTACTGAGGTTTAACTCGTCAACGGAAGATCATAGCAAATCTGTTTGGTTATTTTTCCTTCCCTGCATTCCTTTCTATTCCTGAAACAGGTACTTTATTGCGCATTAAAATTTTATTTTGACAGCATTAGCTCCAAGTAAAAACAACTTAAGGAAGCCATGTGGGAGCTTTTTCCACGCAGCTTCGTCACACTGCAGGAGGGACACCCCACACGACCCGGGGCGCAGCCACATGCCCGTGCAGGTTTCCATCATTCACCCTCAGCTCTCCCTGCCGTGACAGCCCGGCACACACCCCGCTGAACGTCGTTTCACCTGCAGCAGATATCTGTCCTCTCACACACGAAACACGCTACCTTGAGCGGCTCACGCCTCACTTGGATGGTTGCACCGTCACTGAAAGTTTGTAAAGAACCAGGCACAAAGCCAGGAGGATAAGGATCCTGTACCCAAAGCCGTCTCCGGAGGGAAGCAGCGCGCAATGCCCCGCACCACCGAGCTCGGCTACACGGGACACGCCGGCTGGGGAAAGCAAAGTTAGAGACGACTCAAACCGCGACGTCGAAGGCCGGCTCCGCGGACGGCTCCGCGCACCGGCACAAGCGGCCTCTCGCCGTTTAAGGCTGCCCAACCATCACGCGAACAGAAGCGCAGCAGAGACGCAACGCGCAGCAG